CTTTTCTTTATAGGCAAACTATTGATTTTTGAACACTTAAATTGTATCTGATTACCATTTCAAATTCTTATTACTTTAGGCAAAATTGACTCTAAGAGGTAGAAAACTTGATTAAAGTAGTAACCATACAAGTAATGGAAAAGGTAGATGAAGAACTACCTTCTGAAAAGGCCCCAGAGTAGGCAGTTTCATAGAAAAGGAAATAAAGCTTTTTAGTCTGTTCTATGAGATTGATGTAGCCTAATACTGAAACTGGGCAGGAAGGGCATAATACAAGGAAACTTGGACAAATCTCATTTATAAAAGAGTTGCAAAACTTGTCACTAAAATACTGGAATACCAAATAAACACTTACTAAATAAATGACACACACAACGAAATATGACTTATTCTAGCAGGGTAATGATAACTTAAACTTAGAAAATCTATTATTTCATTATATTTATAAAGTAAAAGAGAAAAGTTTTATAATCATCTTGACAAAAGCTGAAAATTCTCAAAATTTGTTCTTCATGAACCCTTGGTAAGTTAGGTATAGAGGGAAACTTCATGAACTTGATTAGAGGAATTAATTGGAAACCTTTACCAAGCCCCATACTTGACAATGAAATACTAGAGACATTTTCATTAAACATAAGAGTGCTGACTATCTCTGCTAATTTTCAACATCACCTCAGAAGCACTAATCAATGTGATAACATAAGAAAAATAAATGGCAGCAGGTATGAGTATTGACAGTTAGACAAAATAGTCATAATGTGAATGTAATATGATAGCTTACCTGTGAAATGCAAGGGAATTAATTGATAAACCATTGAATAGAGTTTGAATAAGTTCAAGAAAAATCAAAACAGTGTAACAGGATGTACAATGAAAATGATTGCTTCCACTCCTTTATCTTGTTCCTAATTTACCCCCATAGGTAATCAGTTTTGTTAATTTCTATCTAACCAATGTTTCTTTATTTAAATATAAGCAGAAACAAATATACACTCTTATTTTCCTCTTTTGTAACACAAAAGGTATCATAAAATATGCACTATTCTGTAGCTTCCTTTTTTAAAACGTAATATGGCTTAGATGTCTTTCCATATCGATTCACAGAGTATCTTCATACTTTTTTAAGGCTACAAAATGTACCATTTTGTGGGTATGCCATAGCATCCTATAAACATAATATTCATGAAGCTATTGGTCGATACTTGCCTGTTAAGTACTTTTTAAAACTTTTAATTTAAAAATATTTATTATTGCACAGGTAATATGTTACTAAATCCTTGTAAAAATTCAAATTATAAGCAAAGTCCCTTGGCCATTCCTAATCCCTCTCCCCTCCCCAGAACTAACTTCTGTTATTAGTTTGGTGTTAATATCTGCTCCTTTCTGGCTGATATCGCCATCGGTTAGAAATGTGATTCCCAGCTGCAGTGTTAGTTTGGAAACTAAAGTCTCATCAGTGACTATTACATGTTGAAGCTAGAAATTCTTTCTTCCCTTTTCTGCTTGCACAAATTCCATTCATGTCTCCTCTTTTGTTAACCTTGCCTCATTTTTTCCGGCCTGCCTTGTGGTTGTTCAAATATTAATATTTAGGTTGAACCAGATAAAAGTACTATTTTGGTAGGTAAAAAGCAGCTCGTTATCAGCAGTTTCATATGGTTCAACCTAATAGTTTTAAAGCTTAATCGGTTTATGTGTCTAGTTCTCCTCAAGGGTAGGAGCCAGAGCACACGTGTTAGTATAATCCCCTCTACGACCTAGAATGACTGGCCAGATCAAAGGCACTTAATATAAGTCCTGTTGACTGATGAAGCTGAGCTGTCCCCAAGACAGGTAGCAGTTGTGATCCACTGAGTCTTACTGGGTTGGTCTCTAAGATGGTCTCTGAGGGCTGCCTTCTCTGAAATGCAATTGGGTCACCCACCCCCCATGAATGACTTGCATCATTGTCACTCTTTAGGGAGGTAGGGAGGACCACTTCCTCTTTACAAAACTTTGCACCTTGGTTACTGTTGAGCCTCTTGTAGCAGTTAGTTTAGGTCTGCAGGCAGTGGGTTATGGGTGCCCAGTAAGGGTACAGAGACTCCTCAGATCAAATGTGTGCAGTGGACTTGCTGGCCTAAGAGTTCACCTTGATTCTGTGAATCCTGACTTCCCAGACTTTTAGAAGACGCACTGACCAGTGCAAATTCAGAAGAATTTGGATTTTGTCCTGAGGTTGCCAACTTTTAATTTTGCCAAATAAGGATGTTTAAAATAAGTAATTATATATTTTGTATAGTTAATATGATTATGGTACAGCATTCAAAACATAAAAAAGGATATGTATTGAATAAAATAAGTCTCATACTTCCTCTCCAGTTCCTTAACTATCCAGTTCCCCTCCCAAGAGGCAAACCCGGTTGCTTGATCATCTTTCCAGAGATAGCCCACACATTTAAAAACAGGTATGAATGTATTGGCTCTCTCCCCTCCCTCAAAAAAATGGTAGTGCATTCAAATACTGTTTCACATGTTGAGTTTTCTCCCCTGCTTTTCTTAGAGACCTTTTAAAAACAAAACATAGAGCTGCCTCATTCTTTTTGATGGCTACATAATATTAGGAAAGATATTAAAAACAGTTATCATCATTTTAATTTAAAAGGTAATTTAAATACCAAAAATGAGAAAGACTGTGATTTCAGTATAAAGAACAATTCTATAAATTAAATAAATTTTGTTCTGTGAAAAATTAATTCCCTGCATTTGTCCAAAGACCCTGTGTTTGAAAACTGTTTCTAGTGATAGTAAACCATTAAAGAAAGGAGTTTATATGTTAGGACAGATTGTGCTAACATCTGTCACAATAGCACAATTTTAGAGAAGTTAATTAGCCTCTGGTGAACTGAATGAATGAAAGGGCAAGAGATCGTAATTGAGATACCCATGTCCTTCTCCCCACTTTACAGAGAGAAGTAGATTTAGGGCATCCTTTCTTATCTCCTACAATGGTACTATTCAACTCATTAGATCACACACTTAGCCAGTCTGCTGTCAAGACATATTGTATTTATAGCAGCTGTCAGTTGGATTGGAGTAGGGAGACTAGTTTCAGGGCTGTGTATTCCTTCCGTTAATATTTTTGAGCAATTAATGAAGGCATAGTACCATTAGGAATTTTGAAAAGCATACCCTGTCAGTCCTCTGTGAGGAATACCCAAATGAAGTGATGGGGTCCTGAACTGGGGGAATAAAATTGGAATAGGTAGCTGGAATCTGAGAACCTTGGAATTAAAAAAATTGACAGGACATGCTATCTTTGGGAAGAATAAGGAGAGCGGAATTCATTTATTGAGTGCCCAGTATGTGCAAGGTACTGTGACAGGTTAGTGCCAAGCAAACTGCCTTAGGATACTAGTATAGGGTTGAAGAGGACACGGTATACAGACACAAGAAACTGGGCTTGTTTGTTTAGGCAGCACATGTTTATTAGGGCAGCATTGTACTAGGTGCTGGACACAAAAAAGGGAAGGAAATGGTATAAATCCAAGTTGCAGGGAGAAAATATAGATAGAACCTTAATTTTCTCAGTCTAGAATAGCAATCTGATTATTACAAGTATGTTTAGGAGAACAACTGCATATAATATTTTTATTTTTAACCATTTATTTTTGGAATGAGCAATACATTTATATGGTTGAAATAAAAAGTATTATAAGGTATACTGCAAAAAGTCTCCCTCCCACTTTTGCCCTCCCCTTCCCCCTTATACAGAGTTCCCTCTTGTGTTGATTATAAATGCTGGAAACAGAAACTACTCTGAGTATTTTAACCACAGAAGGATTTAATGCAGGGAATTGGGTACTTATAAAATTGTTGGAAGGCTTGGAGGAGTAGGACTCAAGGAGGCTGTCCCTAGAGTTCAGTTTTAAAGGCCCACCACTGGACTGGAGCTGTGATCTGGAGGTCAAGAAGTCACTACTGACACTGCAACTGCAACTGCACTGCTGCTGCTTGACGTTCACAAAGCTAGTGACTAGACGTTAGACCCTTGCTACTGCAGACCAGTAGCATCAGCATCACCTGGGAGCTTGTTAGAGGTCTTAGGCCCTACTCAGCCTGCAGAATTGGAATCTTCATTTTAACAAGATCCCCTGATGATTTATACGTACATGAAAGTTTGAGTGGCCCTGCTCTGGTGTACTGGGTCTAGCCACTAACCCGGGGCTCCATGACTTTAGTTACTAATTATAAGGGAGTCAGGGAAATGTAGTTGTTGGTTTTCTCAACTCTCGGTCCAGAAGGAGGGTGGAATGGAGGTTGAAAGAGCCCATCTGCTGAACTGACCACACTTTTCCATAAGTAGCCATTGTTGTTCATTTCTGTATATCCTTGCAGATATTTTATGCATATATAAGCATATGTGAATATGTATGCTTTTTCATCGTCTTTTAAAAATAAATAATAGCTTACTGTACTCAGCATTCTACATCATTTAACAATACATCTTGGGAGAGCTTTCCATATTATGACATGTAGAATCATCTTTTTTTTTTTTTTAACAACTACATAGTATTCCATTATATGGATTACAAAATACTTAAAATTGAGACTGTCTGTTACAGTCTGGGTTGCCTGGTCATCCTAATTTATTGGCACGTGTAAAATATAATGTAGTTGTTAAATGTTTTCTTCCTGCCTCTTATGTGCTCAGTTCTTTTGTCTATGTCATCTCGTTGAACCTGCACTACGAGCCAGTGTGCTTCCTCCACTTTACATGAGGGAACTCAGGCTCTGAAAGGTTAATTTAATAGTTTGTTACCTAAGAAATATCCGGGTTGAGATTTGGACTCCCAGTGTGTTACTCCATAATTTGTGATTTGACCCAGTTATACAGAGTCTGTAAATGGTAAGCCTTTAGTACTTTGGTAACCTTCTCCTTTGGGAAGAGATTTGGAAGTGTACCAATTTGGATATTTTGGGTGGGTATTAAAGGAATTTCTTTTTTTTTTTTGACTTAGGTATCCAGCTCACATAGAAGATATTGACTACGAAGAAGGAAAAGTACTCATCCATTTCAAGCGTTGGAACCATCGTTATGATGAGTGGTTCTGCTGGGACAGTCCTTATTTACGCCCTTTAGAGAAAATACAGCTGAGGAAAGAGGGCTTACATGAAGAAGATGGGTCTTCTGTGAGTAACAAATCTGGGAAGTTCTGTAACGTGCAGAGCCAGCCATTGTGCAGTTTGTGTTCCAGCCTTTGATATTCAGTAGCAGCTGGGGACTGATCCTTATTTAGGCCTGTAGTTGTAACCTTGAGATCTCTGTGGGACCTGGGGCTCTTGAAGAATCCCAGTTTTCACCTATTTGGATGATGTGATTGACATGACAGCTCATAAAGTAACTTGGAGGCTGCATTGATGATTTATACCACTGTATCCCTAGCCTTTAGAACACTCTCTTACACATAGTAGATCTTCAGTAAATATTTGTTAAACAAATGAATGAATGCTTGATTTCTAATCCATTGTATCTAAAATACCATGGTATTCTAGCTATTCTAGACATCTAGGTCATTTATTAATCTGATATGCTGTCTGATCATTTATTCAGTGATCATTCCATGTGGAGCACTGTACTAGTCTCATATGCAAGATCTTTTATAAGCCCTTGAAGAACTTGAAATTGATTAGACTGTTTCCCTGTTTTCTAAATTTCATAATCATGGCTGGAGTTTTTACTGACTTCAGAATGAAGTATAAAGTATGAGTTTTAAGTTTTAAGTTTTTTAAACAGGCATTGAGATGTCTGTAATAGTTCTGCTACTTTTACATCTGACTCAGCCCTGGCTTCTGTTTTTCATTTTAACCCTGACCAAAGAACTTGAACTCTTGCTGGCCTTTTTTTTTTTTTATCCCCAATTTAGGATTGTTCAATATTGTTCCATTTGATTGTTCAGTATTCATTTCACAAAATTTATTGATGCAAACTGTATACTGGAAAACAGTATAAAATATTAAAGGTGAGTGGCTTGGTACAGTGGCTCATGCCTGTAATCCTAGTACTTTGGGAGGCTAAGGAGGGAGGATTGCTTGAAGCCAGGAGTGCGAAACCAGCCTGGGCAACATAATGAGACCCCATCTCTACAAAAAATTTAAAAAAAATATATTAAAGGTGAATGGTGCTTCCCTTAGTAAAAGACCCTTTAGAAATGTGGGTGGGCCGGGCACGGTGGCTCACGCCTGTAATCCTAGCTCTCTGGGAGGCCGAGACGGGCGGATTGTTTGAGCTCAGGAGTTTGAAACGAGCCTGAGCAAGAGTGAGACCCCGTCTTTACTAAAATTAGAAAGAAATTAATTGGACAACTAAAAATACATAGAAAAAATTAGCCGGGCATGGTGGTGCATGCCTGTAGTCCCAGCTACTTGGGAGGCTGAGGCAGGAGGATCACTTGAGCCCAGGAGTTTGTGGTTGCTGTGAGCTAGGATGACGCTATGCATTCTAGCCCGGGCAACACAGTGAGACTCTGTCTCAAAAAAAAAAAAAAGAAATGTGGGTGGCATTAAATAGCATTAAATGCTGCTTCCCTGAAGATGAAATAGCCTCATTTCTTCAGCTCCTGTTTCCTAGTAGTCCTGGACTCTTAGATCATTTTTAATGTGTATCTTGGATAATGTAGGATTATCATCAATGCTGTGTTATGCCTGCCCAGACCTTCCTTGTTGAGGTCTTATGTCCCAGCCCTCTTGTTTGGACTCCCGTTTTTGTCTGTTTTATACTACTATAACGTAATACTTGAAACTGGGTAATTTATAAAGAAAAGAGATTTATTTAGCTTTTGGAGGTTTATTTAGCTTCTGTAGACTGGGACGTTCAAGGCATGGTGCTGGCTTCTGGCAAGGGCTTTGGCACTGCCTTGGTACATAGTGGAAAGTCAAAGGGGGAGTGGGACCAAATAGGAGGAGGAATCTCTATTTATAGCTACCTGTTCTCTTGGGAACTAATCCATTCCTGAGAGAGCAAGAACTCACTCTCGTGAGATAGCATTAATCTATTCGTGAGGGATGGCCCCCATGACCCAGACATCTCCCTCTGGGGCCCATCTCCAACACTGCTGCAGTGACAGTTAAACCGGCATAAGTTTTGGCAGGGATAAACCACATCCAAACCATAGCAACTGCCAGTGCTGAACAGCAGAAACATCTTCCTTCTTCCCAATAGCCTCTTCCCGTTCCCACTCTCTTATTGATCCCAGCCTCTTTTATGAATTCTGGTATTGTATGTGTCCTATGAAATTAGGTTGGTAACAGAATCTTTTCTTTTTAATGTTTTTTAGGAATTTCAAATAAATGAGCAGGTCCTTGCTTGCTGGTCTGATTGTCGTTTTTACCCGGCCAAAGTCACTGCTGTTAACAAGGATGGTAAGGCATTTACTTGGGTTGTAATTGTTTTTACTCATTACTTAATGGAGAGTTTGTAATATTAGCATTTGATAGTATATTTTCAGTATTTATTCACTGCCTATGAATCATCTTTTTTCACTTTAATCACTGTGTCAGGATTAGGAAGAGATTATAAATGTGAAGAAAACTGGATAAAGAGAGTAGTTTGACTTTTTGCCCCCTGAATTTCAGTTACTGTTTTCTAAAACAGTTATAGTTCATGTATGACTGGTTCTTGCTGTCTAGGAGCCTCTAATATTCCTTTTACTTATTGGTGAATAGCCTAGAAATTAAATGAACACCAACAAACATTTAAAAATATGCCTCGTGGTTGCAAGGTGATTGAGGGTGGTTTGTAACATTGGAGTTGCTAATGGAAACTGGGATGCTGGGACTTAGAGCACTGAGTTGGGTTGCCTTTGCCAGAGTTGAGAACATGTGACGGGATAGGAGAGGGAACTTGACCCAAAGAGGCTCAGTTTGTTAGTACAATGTCAGGAGAAGGGTTATGAGGATAATATGTATGACAAGAATCCTGGCACTCAGAGAATGACTCTGGCTTCCAGTGATACCTTTTTAAGCATATTCTACTAGGATGTTTATGGTATGTCCATGATCTCTCTGGTGAATGTTTAGGGCAGTCAGGCCTCTTGATGCTACTCTTAGGGGTGATTATAAAGCCAGATTGCCTTTTCATTCAGTGAAGTTATTCAAGTATTTATTCGGTACTCTGCTAACTGCTGGCCTTGGGCTGACTCAGGTTTTTCTGAGTGTGATTGAAATGTTCAAAAATAAACTTCAAAAGCAAGGTTTTATTTATTTATTTTTTTAAGCCTCTGGGCTTCCAGAACTGAGAGATAAGGTTGTATCTTCTGAGTTGTCTAAGCAGTTACTGGTCCTCCAGTTCATGACTGATTAAGTCTTTTTGGATAGCCCCTTGTTTCCCTAAATTAGTTTTATAAGCTTGTGTTCAAAATAAAATCCCCTGTTACCGATTTTCATATATATCACATTAACCTAAAAAACTTATTTTAAAGGAAAGCTTACATATTATTAAACTGCCTCATATCCTTTTAGTAAAAGACAAACTTTACCATTTCAGATTTTTATTTTCAAGATTAATCATCTGTCTTCTAATACTGCCTTTTGAAATCTTGTGATATGACATACAGGTGTTCATCATGTACATAAACATGTTCCTGTAAAGTCAGTAGGTTGATTTATGCTGTTCAAGTCATGCTTTTCCTTGGGATAATATCCACCGGTGTGCTCTTTTGGGGAAAAGGCTATCCTTTAGATCAGATGAAAGTTCTGGATAGTAACGTGGGTAACTTCTTAGACGAAGGAGGAAGCAGAAAGGAGGCAACCTTTCTTTTGTTTCAGTGATGTCCTAGAGTCCCATGGAGGACAGAAATGGGGCAGAGGGGACTGGATGAAGAATGGCAAAGGAAGGGCAAATTGAGGAAGACTTGGGAGTTGTCCCTTAGAGAGGTGGAAGGTATCTCGGTGGAGGCAGTGAAGGCTTAGGAATGTACTGTTTAGATCTAATATCTGCAGAGCCAGAGCTTGGCATCAAGGATTGGCAAAAAAAAAAAAAAAAGACCTAGTTCAAGGCAGAATGAAGTAGATGCTGAAATAGAGCTACCAGGGGGAGGCAGGGCAGGCACAGGATGGCGCAGATAAATCATAACAGGAGGATCTATGGTGGTTTGTGTGTGGGATAGGTCTGAAACTTTTTGAAATAGTCATTTAAGGACTAAAAGTCATTGGCCACATTATTGGCTATAGTTAATTGGGGTTTTTAAATGTCTTTTTTTTTTTTTATTTCAGCATATTATGGGGGTACAGATGTTTAGGTTACGTATGTTGCCCTTACCCCCCTTAAATGTCTTTTAAACGGGCAAATTTTTAAAAAAATCTTTTTAGTTGTGTTTCCTCCATGAGCTAAAATTATAGAGGGCAGAGTTGTTCCTAAAATGGTCACTTGCTGCCTTAATATATTGGTTCTGTAAGCTCTGAATTCTGTCCAGTGACTTTTAGTTAACCGAAAGACATAAATATGAATGGAGATTTCTGCCAAAACCTGTTTTCTTGAAGTTCTTGGGTCTGAAGTCCTGTATTGTGCTGCCTTGCTGACTGGTTCTTGAGACTAATTGGAAGGGGGAAGAGAGGATATGGGGAGGGGAGATCCTGAAAAGGAAAGTTGGCGGGTTAGGCTGGATGGTATTTTTGCCATATTGTCTATTGATTGTGAAGGAAAGCTAGCCTTTGTGGGAGCTCAGATTTGTGCCTGATTTGGAGATGAAGATAATCACTTTTAGGTGCTGTCTTTGGGTTAGAGTTGGTGGGTAGTTTCTACTTCATCATTCATTCTAGTACTTGTGGGATTGGGAGATACAATGCTGGACTCTCTTTCCAGTTTTTCCCTGGTATTTTCTGCCCTGCCTTGGGTTCATCGGTAGCAGGGGCTACCTTGGCTTGATGGCACTGAGGAGGAGCTCTGCTGGCAAGGTGCCCCCTTTAGTTCCTGTAAATGTCACTTCTGCCTTGTACCAACTGCAGGAGGAGGCTGGACACGTAATGAAGTCAGGTCTTGCAGATTCATCTTTAGAAGGCTTGGTCTGATTTTCTTGCCACTGGTAACCTCCATGGTGGTTTTGCTGAGGCTGAGCATTGACTGAGCAGGCTGGGGGGGTGGGGACTCTAGTCAGAGTGGGAGAGCAGTGGCTGCTGGCACTGGGAAGTCTGGCATGATTGAATCAGAACTAAATGACAACTTTAGAGTTTCTTAAGGGAGTGAGTTAGCACTTGGAAACTAGGAAGGGCAATGCCATATTATTTAGTCCTTTCCACCTGGAGGTTCTTTGGCAGTGGAAATTAAGCATCATTTAGTGTGAAGGCAGCCACAGTTGATAGCCTTGTTAGATCCTCATTCTGCATTGTAGTAAAAGGCAGTGAAAGATGGATTTCTCCTTTCAGGGAATCTTTGTTTGGAAGCCACTTCTGATGAGTTGACCCCAGCTCTTTGCTGGGGCTGCTTCAGTCCCCTGTTCTACACAGGGGATGGCAGAGCCATTTGTCTGTCAGGGCTTTGTGCCCCCAGTAGTGGGCCACTGTGCTCTGCAAGGCATTCTGTTTGGGGAAACTGAAAGTAGGTTAGCATTTATGATAAAATAGGGAATTGTTCCTTCCTGTTGATCTGTGGTTCTTTAACTTGAATGAGCAGTTGAATTAGCTCCTTCTTCCTAAAAAAATATGCACATTTTTGGGTCATGTTCCCCCCACCTTCTCCCAGTTCAATCTCTCTGGGCCAGTGCCTGCAGTCTGATTTATGATAGGAAACGCTGTGGAATGGTCTTGTTTCTAGAGTCTCTGACTGAAGCAATTGCTCTTTTTTGTTTTCTTCATACTGTAACTGAATCTACGTTTAAAATATGGGAAGTTTGGTACTATGTGAACAGCTTTGCAGAGAGATAAAAGGAAGATTTACGCCAACATGGGCAGGTGCTGGCTTGGCTGTTTTCTTCTATGAAGGGAGAGGGATTGTGTTTCCCTTTTAAAGTAACATGATGGTATTGATCCGTTGCTCTGTGACGGGTCCTGTGATAGGTAATTTCTATATCTTATTTAATCTTCACACAGACGTGGAAAGGTTATTGCCATTAACCCCATTCTCATTTTATGGATGAAAACTAAGCTCACAGGAGAAACTGCTTGAGGTTACGGAGCATGTAAATGGTAGAGCTGAGATCTGCATGGAGGATTGTGGGGCTCCAAAATCTCTGAACTGCAGATCCCACCAGGCTGCCTGTCTGGAGTAGGGTTTTTCCTAAAAGGGCAGGAGTCTCAGTTAGGTCCAGGTGTTCACTGATGTGATGACAGGGTGGATGTAGGAGGTCTGTACTTTCTGGAGCCTAGTGGTGTCTTGAGAGCCCTGATTGGGAGACAGGCTCTGGTCTCTGTCTCTGCTCAGTGATGACAGGCAGTTCACTGTCCTTGCTCTGGATTCATCTGAGCAGTTAGAAATCAAAGAGGGAATTGGAGTAGATGAGCATTTTGAAAATTGTTGGCTGCAGAACCTAAATTGTAAATTTGCTAAGAAGAAGAGACTTAAGGGGAGGGAAGGTGCGCCTGCAAACGTGTGTGTTCCCCTACCCCGCACATCTGTGGAAACCTCAGGACTTCAAGAAACCATGTTTGAAAATGTTGAGTCTTCCATCTGTGACGTTCTGGAATTCTCTGACTTCTGGAGAATGAGTGAGATAGAAAAGGGGCTCTGGAATCATAGCCATCATAGATTTCAAGAGCCACAGAAATCTGTCTAATCCAAAGTCATCCATGTATCCCTGTTTTCTTAGTCCTAGAGAAGATGAGCTTGCTATGCATCTCTAATTTTGTTCTAACAGCCCTTCTGCTATTACTGACTGCTGTAGGATTGTCTGAGATGCTGAGTTCTTAACCTTCAGAGAGGCACACCTGGCACATGTAAGGACGTCCAGAAGCTTCTTAAGGGAGCCTGAGGCAGGTAGCTCTTGTGTCAAGTTAGAGGAGATACAATAGGATGCACTTATTTTGAGTTGTGTCATTTATATATTATTTGTTAGATGTTGTTTGTGGCCAATGGGTGTTGAGCTCTATTATCAGCCACCCATGGGAGATTTCCATGGGAAGACAGTCTTTTAGTTATACATGATACCATTAAAGTAGATTTTGGGCCTCTCTCCTGAAGTGGGCCTAGGCTACTGCTGTCTGTTGTTACCTCTGATTTATTGAAACACAAGTTAGGCTGTATTTAGCATGATCAAGGGAGAAAGTTTCAAGATGATTCCTTGTAGTCCTTTGCAAATAAAAAGGGTCAGGACCAGGTTATTGATATCTAAGGACAGTGATCCCTAAGCACCTTTAGCCATAGTTTGAATTATTTCAGAGTGGCCAGTGGTACTCTGGGCCTGTGGTTTAGACTTAGACTGAGGGGCTTGGGTAATAGGCAGTATGAGGTGGTGGCAGAAGAATTGGTTAGAGGTCAACAGACAGGCTTGGGTTCCAATCCTAGCTCTGTCTCAGACTTACCATGGAACTCAGGGCCCTTTCCTCTAAGGCCTCCTTCTGGAGACTACCATCAGGAGTAAGCTTCAAAATTAATCTCAAATAGCTGAAAGTGTTGGACTGTTCAGTAGCATTACTTAATACTGTCCTTTGGATGTTGAAAATGCCTGTAAAAACGACAGTTTTCATTTTGATGTTATGATGCTGCACTTTTTTTGTTGATAAAATAGTTGAAAGTATAGACTTGGGTGGCAGTTAATATTTAGGATGTCACAAGAACTGGATTCTTAAAGCTCCTATCCCTCACTTCTACCCCCAGACTGGCCAGAGCCATACCATGGTTGCTTAAGGGTCTGTTTAGAATTCCACAGCACTGTTTATCATTATGCCTTTGCTTGCCAACACCCTCATAATACAGTCAAGAAAAGACAAGAATGCAGAGGACCGAATTATAAACTTGTTCAGAATTGGCTGTTTGTATCTAGAACCTCCCCAAATAGAAGTCCAAGGCTCCAGAGAACAAACTTTGAACTGTTTTCCTCAATAAATTGATTGCTAGCACTCACGGTGCTTTGGCTCAGAGGTGGGGTGCTTTACCAGTGAGGATTTCTGGGTGCAGTGCCTCAGTTCTCAATTTCGAGAGGCCTCTGAGTGTCTCACCTTCATCCTGGCAGGCCTTTGAGTACAAGTCCAAGGCTCCTGCACATTATTTTATTTATTTATTTATTTTTTTGAGACAGAATGTCACTGTGTTGCCAGCCTAGCTCACAGCAACCTCAAACTCCTGGGCTCAAGCGATCCTCCTGCCTCAGCCTCCCGAGTAGCTGGGACTACAGGCATGTGCCACCATGCCCAGCTAATTTTTTCTATGTATTTTTAGTTGTCCAATTAATTTCTTTCTATTTTTAGTAGAGGCGGGGTCTCGCTCTTGCTCAGGCTGGTTTCGAACTCCTGAGCTCAAACAATCCGCCCGTCTCGGCCTCCCAGAGAGCTAGGATTACAGGCGTGAGCCACCGCGCCCGGCCACATTATTTTTTTTTTAAAGAGGGTGTAGTGGTTTGGCTAAAGCTATCTGTCAAGGGCAATTAAAAATTTTTTTTTCATATAGTATTAGTACAGATTGAGATTTTTTTCTGTAGAATCATTTTGCCCTAATTGCCCACACTGGTTTGTAAGTACTCATAAGTCATTGCTGAGCTGCCTTACGTAGAGAATCACTTACACTTTTATCCTTAGGTTTCCTTTATCACAGCCTGTGATATCTAATTGCTGGTATTTTACCCAACCAAGCATAACTAAATATTCTTATATCTTATTTGCTAGGCAGTTTCTTTCTGTATTGGTGACAGCTGTGACAAATAATCACCAGGCGTAAAGGTCAGTAGATAATTACTAATTGTACATGACAGTGGTTCTCAGATTTCGGTGTGCATCAGAATCACCTGGAGGACTTGTTAAAACACATTTCTATGCCCCACTCCCAGAGTTTGTGATTCAATATATCTGAGATGGGGCTGGTAACTTGCATTTCTAACAAGCTCCCAGAAATTTCTGACGCTGCTGGTCTGGGAACTGCAGTTTGAGAAGCACTGGTCTACTCTGAGCCAGGCCCAATGTGAGGAAGAAATTGGTATGAGATGTGATCTCTGGCCTCGAAGAGCCTGCCTCCTAGTTGGGATCTGTACTTACATGAAGGTAGACCTAAGTGTGAAGCAGTGCAGGCCAGGTACCAAATGAGTCTATGAGAAGTTCAGAGCAGTGAAAATTGCCGGTAGCTGGAAAGCCGGGAAGCTTTTACCTGAACTCTTGTGGTCGTTTGAGCTGGGCACTGAAGGATCAATGAGTGAGTGACACATTCCTGGTGGGAAAACACTTTGATAAAGATGTGGAGATAGAAATGTCACTGACAGTTTAACTGGTAACTACCAGTAGCTACCAGTTGGTGGGTATTGGATGCTGGCAATGAGTTAATGAAGTTTGGAAAATTACTGGGCTCAGACTGTGTTGGACTTTGAATACTAGAGAGGCAGGCTTTTGGACTTCATTTAGTACAAATGACTAGCCATTGACAGGGCCTTGTTAAGGACTGGAGGTGGGGTGGGGTGGGGAGAGAATGTACAAAAAGGAGGTAACCAGGACGTCTTAACTTCCTTCTTGCATTCTTCTGCTCCCAGCCCTCAGGGACATGTTTACCAGTAGTAAACTATTACTTGATTTACTAGTGACTCACGGGTAATCTTGAAAGATTAACTGTGATTCTTATTTTAAATACCCGGGGCAAAAAAAAGCAGGGAAGGGACACAAATTGGTTCTAAGATGAAAAAATTTGTAAGTGTTGGTTTGGGTGCAACTAATGAGATCTTCTGTATTGGATTGCTTATTTGGGAAAATAAGATTATTTGGGTTTCACTGGCTTCAGGTTTTTAGCAGGGAGTAAACCCTATTGAACCGTTTTTTTCTAATGGAAAAAAATTGGCAATGTAGCAGGCAACATTTAATGTTTTGGCCAGCTCCCTATTTTAAAATATTGTAACGTGAAGATAATTCATATGGATTTTGAGGTTAATGGGATGTCTAGAAACATAATACCTTCAGCAGAACAATCATGTTCCTTATAAAGTTTGAAAGACATTATTGCCCCAAGCCCAGAAAATAAAGATTAAATTATAAAAATAAAATGATTCACCAAGGAATAAATCTGCATTTTCCTCACATTCTTAATTGTTTAACTGCTCTCTGTTCTTGGCCTAAATTCAGTGCAAGTTTTTTTTTATTTTAACAAAGCATCATAAAAATGAGTTATTTTTTGATGGATTTTGATTTATTTAGATAAAAAGAAAACTGTAATCTTGACTAAGAAATGAAGGCAAGCATACTGTTTTCTTGGACATAAGTAAGAATGAATATGGTTCTTAAACAATTTTTCTAACTCTCGTAAGTGGTTGGAGGTCCCTTGTGTTTATACTTTGAAAAGTTGCTACTTTCATGAAACTGCAAGTAAAAATCATGATATCTTCTTGAATTTTAGGTACTTACACTGTGAAATTTTATGATGGAGTAGTTCAGACTGTCAAACATATTCATGTCAAAGCTTTTTCCAAAGATCAGGTGAGAAATGTGGTTTTGTGCTTTGTGTTATGAATAATGCTAACATTGTAGTTTTGTTTCTTGAATAAAGACATTACATTTGCTTATGATGGCAAGTTTTTATTTCCTGCATCTGACACAATTTCACCAGAAAATAATATACAAATTTTCAGAAGTTGTAAATATTTGTTTCTCGCTGTTATTTCCTTTTAACAGAGATTTTTTTCAAAAATGCCAAATACTTGGATACCATTGCCTCTGTTATCTGTTTTCCTCATCTTTTCTCAAAAGTGTCCGCTTATTATTCTTTTTTCCTTTTCCCTGTACCCTGGCCCCAGAGCTGTTCCCATCTCTGTGTGTCCTGTCCCCATCTCTCTGTGCCCTGTCCCCATTACAGGGAACTTGTTGAATCACTTTAGGAGACCTTGAGCATGTTTTCTCTGCATCTAGCTTTGTTCTTCAGCTTAGGACCATGACTTAGTATTTTGCAGTGCTACTGTTTGGTGTGGATTTGGCACGCACTGTGCTAGATGTGCCTGGTTTGAGAATTTTGTGTCCTGTTGTCTCAATCACAATGCATATACTTGCCTGAGCATGGGGCCTGAGTTTTCTTTTTTTTTTTGAGACAGAGTCTCACTCTTTTGCCTGGGCTAGAGTGCCATGGCATCAGCCTACCTCACAGCAACCTCAAACTCCTGGGCTCAAGCGATCCTCCTGCCTCAGCCTCCCGAGTAGCTGGGACTACAGGCATGTGCCACCATGCCCGGCTAATTTTTTCTATATATTTTTAGTTGTCCGATTAATTTCTTTCTATTTTTAGTAGAGGCGGGGTCTCGCTCTTACTCAGGCTGGTCTCAAACTCCTGAGCTCCAACAATCCTCCCGCCTCGGCCTCCCAGAGTGCTAGGATTACAGGCGTGAGCCACAGCGCCCGGCCCTCATGTTTATATTTTAATGAAATAGTTGAGGGGAAAGTAGAGATCAAAATTTGGATATTGGTGTTTTTAAAAATTCTAATTCTTACTACTTTTAGTTATTGAGACAGGTAAAGCAGTTTAGTAAAAGATTTTATCACTGAGGCATCGTAACTGGTTACTCGCCTCTGGGTGGTGGTTGATGAGACAGTGTTTGGTGATGCTGTAACCTGTTGTGTCTTTCCTTGTGATGATCAGATGCTTCTACTTTTCACAGATTTTAATGAATTCTTCTATACATTCGTTTAGCAGTTTCAAAGGATTCTGATACATGAAACCTTTAAAGGTAGCCTCAAGTGTGTTTTTGCCTTTTGGTTGTTTTCCTCTTCAGAAAATTGACAAAATTATAAAGCTTTGGCCCTGATGATGCTTTCTTTTTGATCATTTGTTTCTCGGGCATCTAAGGAGCCACACACCACTCTAAAACGTTATTTTGGCCTTAAATTTGGCAATTTTTGTGTTAGGTTTGTGGAATGAGTTAATATATTAATAGACAGAGGGACCAAATTATAAACTTGTTCAGAATTGGCTGTTTGTATCCAGAACCTCCCCAAATGGAAGTCCAGGGCTCCAGAGAACAAACTTTGAACTGTTTACTCTGCTTTCCTCAATAAATTGATTGATAGCACTCACGGTGCTTTGGCTCGGAGGTGGGGTGCCTTACCGGTGAGGATTTCTGGGTGCAGTGCCTCAGTTCTCAATTTTGAGAGGTCTCTGAGTGTCTCATCTTCATCCCAGCAGGCCTTTGAGCACAAGCCCATGGCTCCTGCACTTTTTTTTCCCCAAGGTGGTAGTGGTTTGGCTAAAAGAGGTCTGTCATGGACAATTTTAAAGGTTTTTTTCATACAGTATTAGAATAGATAGAGATTTTTTTTCTGTAGCACCACACTGCCCTAAATGTTTTGCTAATCTATATTTTAGTAGCATTTAGTTTTTTGAAATAATGTTTGCTGTAGATAATTTAAAAAATACAGGAAAGCACAAAGAAAGTAAAAACTCTATGATCCCATCACTAAGATGCAATGCTCTTAACATTTTGGTGTTCTGTCTTTGTGTTTTTGTTCAATGTTTATGTTTTTGTGTGTGTCCGTATCTGTTTCTTTTCAAAAGTGGAGTCGTGGTATATTAAACACGTTTTTTTGTGTGTGTATATATTTCTTTTTAAAATTAGAGTCATGTGGTATATTAGTGTTCTATAACTTTATCTCTTAACAAAGTAACATTTCCCCAAGTTCCTTAATACTCTCAGAATATGGCTTTTAATAGCTATGTAGTATTTTATAATAAGTATGTAACTGTACTTTGTATAACCAGTTCCCAAATAGTCATTAAGCGTATTTGTAAATATGGGTGCCCAAGTCTGTTAGCAAATTCCATTTCTAGAAATTCATTCTTTTAAAAAGGTATAAACTTTTAAGTCATTTGACCCAAATTGTTAATACCCCCAACCCCCAGAAGGACAATTGCAATTTATATTTTTGTTAGCAGTTACTGAGAGTGCCTGTTCTCAAACCTGGCTGCTTTTAGGCTAATTTTTAGAACTTAAAAAAGATTTCCTTGCTTATCATTTTTCCCTATGCGACAAATTAAACTTTTATTTGCTCAGTATTTAGGTACTCCTTTCTGCTTCCAGCAAAAATCTATGTGCCCAGTGTGGGCCTAGTTGCTGCGATCCCAGGTGAACATTGCATAGTGGTCCCTGCTCTTGAGCTCTTGGAAGAGAGATACATACACAAATAAATGTAATTTAATCTAATAGTTTTGGAATCTCTAAAGCTTTTATGTTATTTATTTATTTTTTTTGAGACAGAGTCTCAATGTGTTGCCTGGGCTAGAGTGCCATGGCAACCTCAAACTCCTGGGCTCAAGCGATCCTCCTGCCTCAGCCTCCCGAGTAGCTGGGACTACAGGCATGCGCCACCATGCCTGGCTAATTTTTTCTATGTATTTTTAGTTGTCCAATTAATTTCTTTCTATTTTTAGTAGAGACGGGGGTCTCGCTCTTGCTCAGGCTGGTTTCGAACTCCTGAGCTCAAACAATCCACCCGCCTCGGCCTCCCAGAGAGCTAGGGTTATAGGCGTGAGCCACCGCGCCCGGCCCTCTAAAGCTTTTAGAGCTGGCTTTATTATGAAACAGTCACACTAGGATGCAAGTTTTTTAGGATGAATTTTAAAGAAAAGAATTTAGGAAGAAAGTAACCAAGAAACAGCATTTTCTTCCAATGGACCAAAGCTCAAGAGTAGCTCAGCAACACAGTAGGTGGCTTTTTGGACTGAGCACAGTCTTTACCCGGTAGAGGAAGCAGAGACCCTGGTCCTGGGTTAGACAATCTTTACAGTTTTCCTGTTCAGCTTCCAGTTACCAATTTGGATTTTTCATTACACAAGGTATCAGAATATACTGGCAAACTGAGCCAGGACTCTGAAAAGCCCTGAGTTAGTATAGTCATGCTGGGGACAAGAAGGATGGAGCACGAAGACATTTTCTTAGGACACCTCTGTCGGAAAGCTTGCTTTCCAGAATTTTATTTTCTAGTGACTTATTATTCAGCACAGTAAGGAAGATTGCTCTGTCTCAGATGGCATTGAACATGACAGTTATTTTCTTTAGGATTGGTTCTCAAATCTCAGGACAGGTGGATATTTTCAGTGGTGCTTTGCATTATGTGATCTAGTTGGTGTATGTCCTCTTTTAATTTCTTTCTTTATAAGTTTACAAAAAAACCTCCTAACTGTATTTGCAAGTAATCACAAAGTGTTTCATTGCTATTTTGCTCATTTTAGAATATTGTGGGTAATGCTAGGCCTAAAGAAACAGATCACAAAAGTCTTTCATCATCTCCTGATAAACGAGAGAAGTTTAAAGAGCAGAGAAAAGCCACAGTCAATGTGAAGAAAGACAAAGAAGACAAAGCCCTAAAGACGGAAAAGCGACCCAAGCAGCCTGATAAAGAAGGAAAGTTAATCTGTTCCGAAAAGGGGAAGGTGTCAGAGAAAAGCCTTCCCAAGAACGAGAAGGAAGATAAGGAGAACATTTCAGAAAATGACAGGGAGTATTCTGGAGATGCCCAAGTGGATAAGAAACCTGAAAATGACATTGTGAAGAGTCCACAAGAAAACTTGAGGGAGCCAAAAAGAAAACGAGGCAGACCCCCTTCCATAGCTCCTACTGGTGAGTTTCCCAAGTGGGCTCTGCAGTGGGCAATGGCAGAGTGTTCTTCTGTGGCCCTTTGTGGTTCTTTGTAACTTCTGTGCTTCAATCCTTCGTTTTTGTAACTGACGTTGAATTGTGTTGTGGTCTAGAAACAAGTTGTGTCCGGGAGCTGAATTTCAGTGAGGCATGTTTCCAGGTGAAACTGAGTTGGGAAGCCTGTTCAAGACTGAGCTGCTGGGCTAGTAGTAAACTGCCCACTAGATTCTCAACTTACATGATAAGACCTAATGAGCTAAGGCCTTTTGCTTGTGCGTATTCAAATGATCTCAGTTTAAGCTTACCTAGAACCTTGGATCAGGAAATACAATTTTAATGAGACAGACATGAAAGAGGAAAGGAGTATCTTTTGAGCCATTTTGGTAAAAAAAATAAAAATAAAATAAAAAGAGCAAAGGAGGAAAAGTAAAAAGGAATGGGTGTCTAAAGGGGGCAGAGACAAAGGAACACCAGGGCTAGGGAGGCATGGCTTATTCATCGTTTCCTAATGATACAGAATGCAAAGCCAGTCCTCCTATCAAGTCAGACTGCCATATCAGACTTTATTTCTGTGGTGTAAAAACTTTAGTTCACATAAATATGCTAGTACTCTCAGTAGACAACTTTCTGACATCTGAGTTCTAATTTTAAGATAGGAAACTAGACAGGTTGATTTCTCTCCATATGAAATAAGGGACCTCCCCCTTCAGTGGTTGTAACTCGGTTTTGCCTGCAAGAGCTAAGCATTCTGGAATTATCCCTAGGTCTAAACAGGGCCTAGAGCTGTACTGTCCAATATGATAGTCACTAACCATATGTAGTATAGAATACTTGAAATGTGACTTGTCTGAATTGAGATGTATTGTCAGTGTAAAATAAGCAGTGGATTTCAAGTACTTAGTACAAAAAAAGGTAAAATCTCATAATTTTAAAATATTGATTACAAATTGAAATGTTTTTAGATGTATTGGATTAAATAAAATATGTTCTTAAAATTAATTTTACTTTTTTTTTTTAAACTTCTTAACGTGACTACTAAAAAAATTTAAAATTACATGTGGCCTGCACTCTCATTATATTTCTGTTGGACAGCACTGCCCTTAAATTCACTGGCTTTCCCAGCGGAGATCTGGGAGAGAATTAAGCCCTAATGCCCAAGGCATCATGATCTGTGATGAATTGACCTCTGTGCGTTGAGAATGGTACTAGCTGTATACTACCCTTAGGAAAATTGAGAAAATATCTGTGTTCAGATGAGGAACCTCAAGTTTGAGAAGTCCAGAAGTTTTAAACTTCCAAGCAGAGCACCATGTTAAGATGTGGGGTGAGAGAGAGACAGGTCTTTTTATTTATGTAAAGTGGGAGAAGGGCAGTTACACAAGGACAGGTAGAAAATGCAAACTGGCAGAAATCTGACATGTCCTCAGCTCAGTTTTAGGAAAGAGGATGTGTAAAAACTGAGTTTTTGCAACTGATTCCCCTTTAGCTATTCATGCTGTGGCTGATACCCTCTGGAAGGTGTGTACTGGGTAGCTGTACCCCAGTTTGCGGACTGGTCCTATGATTTCACTGAGATAAGAAAAGAGGCATTTAGTTTGTTGCTTTTATGTTGTAAGTGCGATTTCAAGTCAGATAGAATAAATTTAATAGAGAAAGGGTATTTTCCAAGTTTACTGTTAACCCTTGCCTGAGGCATTTGTAAAAACTGATTCCAGCCGTGCCTCAGTCCTTCCCATTCAGACTGTCTGGATGGGGACCTGGGAATGTGAATTGTTAACAAGCTTCCCAGATGATTTTTACTGTAAAAGAGTTTGGGAGACTCTCCAGTTCTGTATAGTCAGCTCCCCATTTGTATATGGTATCAAAAGGAAGAAGGATTGCTAAATATCCCACATAGAATTCAAATCCTCTTTAAAAATTGCTTGGAATAAGTTCATAGACTTGGTAGAGGCTTGAGCGCCTGTGCAGACTTGATTAGGAATAGGATCTGAGCTATTTAGAGAGGATTGTTTGGATTTGTGTTGAATTTGGAATGTGTGTGATCTCCAAGTTTCCCACCACTTGGAACAAAATAATTTTGGGAAGATTGAACAGAGGAAGAGCCAAGGAGTTCAGCACTCTCATCGGGTTTGCTGCCCCAGAGCTCAGCCTTGTCTCTTGCTTGGCCGTTTGACATGGCTGACCTGAAGCTGCAGGTCTTAGATGAGTCTTTTCTCTCTCCCTTCCTCCCTTCTAATTTTCTTCCCTTCCCTTCCCGTCCCTTCCTCTTCTCCCATTTACTTCCCTTCCTCCCCACTTTCTCCTTCTCTCCCCTCCTTTCCCCCTTCCTCTGACCCCTGCCTCCCTGCCAAACTTCCCATTTTCCTTTTTTCTTTCTTCTGCTTGCCTTTCAGATTCTCATTTTTTCTGATTGGGGGAGAGCTTCTTAAGTGTTAGGTTTAAAAATAACATTCTTCAAGGGTTTACTGTCCGCAGTGCTAAATTATGTCAGAGCTGGGTTTGCTAGGGATCAACAGCCTTGCCTGGAACATTGATTGTCAAGTAACATAGTCTCCTAAGATTTTTTTCTGGGGTTGTTTTTAAGAGAATATAAATGTTGACATTCTTCTTGGACCCTCTAAACTAGGACCAACGCCAAGATAACTAGTGTAGCAAGTAGAGATTGCAAACAATAATCAAGCCCTAGTCCCAGGGTACACATGTTAGGAATTAGCCTGTGTGGTGGATTTCCTGAATATTGGATCAGTTTTTGATGAGAAAATTTGATGGTGATAAAAATGACTGCTATTTCCCTTGCACCTTCATACTTCAAAGCAGTCGTGTTGGGATGTGGTGTTTTTTGGTTTTTGTTTTTTTTGAGACAGAGCCTCACTCTGTTGCACGGGCTAGAGTGCCATGGAGTCAGCCTAGCTCACAACAACCTCAAACTCCTGGGCTCAAGCCATCCTCCTGCCTCAGCCTCCCGAGTAGCTGGGACTACAGGCATGTGCCACCATGCCCGACTAATTTTTTCTATGTATTTTTAGTTGCCAGCTAATTTCTTTCTATTTTTAGTAGAGACAGGGTCTTGGTCTTGCTCAGGCTGGTCTTGAACTCCTGAGCTCAAACAATCCTCCTGCCTCGGCCTCCCAGAGTGCCAGGATTACAGACGTGAGCCACTGAGCCCAGCCTGGGATGTGTTGTTTTTAAGAGAGGGTTTCAGGAGAGAAATATTTGACTGGAGCTGGGTCATAGGAGAGACCAAGCAAAGAGGTTCAGGAGACGGATCTGCAAGGTGTCAGGATCTCCCATAGGGGAGTATTTTCTCACCCATTTCACTTTTTCTTTCTCTTACCTTAAGTAAGTATACCTTTTTGAGGGTCTGTTTATAATGGAGTGATGCATGCATGTGTGTGTGTGTATACATATGTATGTTTTATTTACATATAAAATGAGAGATTGGACACTAAGAAATTACATATCTTTTTTGTATGGTTTTATAAACATTATAGCTGTGGATTCAAACTCTAAAACTTTGCAACCAATAACGTTGGAGTTGAGAAGACGGAAAATATCAAAAGGAAATGAAATCCCACTAAAACGTCCTCGGCTTGACAAAAATTCACGTGAGTCTCTAGTTTGTGTATATGTGGCTAGAATTTGATGTTGTTTGGGTTAGCCTCCCCTGTATGCATCTTGTCCCTATTCCCTTTAGGCTCTAATTCTTGTCCTTAGTGACATGAGCTAATGTAAGTGGGGTGTCGTTGGATCAGAAGGAGTTTTTGCTAGAAGAAAAAGAAATCCTAAGGCACAAACTGTATTAATGTTGAGTTTAGTGGTATGATCTCCATATCCATAAACTACATTTGATTTGGATTCCAGTAGAAATTTAACAGCTTAGGAAGGGATGGCTTTCATATGCTGAGAGAAACTTTATACAAAAATACCCTGTTGGCTCCAAAAAGGATTTGTGATGGTTCAAAGTAAGGCTCTTATACACCTTACTGACTTTGGAAGTTATTACATAGACTTTTATACGGGAAGCCCCAAAATAGAACTTAGTTGTCAAGATTGGGATGTGACCTGGCACATACTTTCAGATCATGAGTCCTTAAAGAAGTGAAATTCTATCCTGGCAGAGAGACTTTGCCTTTCTTAAAAATATAAACTAGTAAATGATATTTCCTTTTATCACTTGTCTAACCTTCCAAAAGTCTCCCTATAAGCCCTTATAGAGGCAATCAGCCCAGAAATCTGTAGCAGCAGAGTTATTTCTTCTTGTTGGTCTCTTGCCTACAACTCTCTTAATGGTTTAATAGCCCAGGAAAAGTCAAAAAACTACTCGGAAAACACTGACAAAGACTTATCAAGGAGACGGTCCTCCAGGCTGTCCACTAATGGGACCCATGAGATCCTAGATCCTGACTTGGTGGTACCAGATTTGGTTGATACGATTCCTTTGCAAGACACATCATCTAGTACCAAGGAATCTAAAGAAGGTGAGTCAGATTCTGTTCTGGAATTGTCTTGCCAACCTGATGCCTATCTAGTGAGAACCAATCTAAATCATTGCCTGTTACCTTCCACAAGTATTAGATGGTCTTGAAATCAAACTATTGAATGGGCTGCGGTGTTTTTGTAATATATGGTTCTTCACTGATGATTCATTCAATAGACAAACTTTCTGGATGCATTTGTGGCTGGTTTTGCTTATATACCACTCACTGAATGTTGGGTTGGAGGTAGACTGCTTGAAGAGCCCTGCCTCTCTGTCTTTCTGGTGCCTTGTTGTTAACATTTCTAGTAATTCCTCCTTTGACTTTAGTCTCTTTCTTTGAGATGCTCACAGGCCAGGCTATATATATGCTGGAACCTGGGAATGTATTCTTGTGAGTTGTGAGATGGATGGCTTCTTCTAAAAAATCCCTGACTTTCTTAGTCTGTTGTGGGACTTTTGCTTCCCAGATTATATACATGTATATGTTTTCCAAGTTTTCTTTTTTTTCTTCTAGGTCTGTTGAAATCTCCTTTGGAAGCTGGCCAGGTCTCATCTGCATTGACTTGCCACTCCTTTGGGGATGGATTGGGGGCTGTAGGCTTGGAGTTGAATTGCCAGTCAATGGGAGAAAACACTATGAAAACGGAACCGGCTTCTCCTCTTGCTGAATTACAGGAGATTTCGACTGTGGAAGGTTCATATTTAGAGTTAACTTAATCCTCTTCTTATACATACCCTCTTCTTATACATACTTTCACTTCTGCTTTGATTGTGAACTAAAGAAAATTGACTTTTCTAATGCTGATGTTTCACCTTTTATTAATATTTCCTTATTTTAATGCTGTGTCTTTCTTCTAGAACCTTAGGTAATTGAATTTTGATCTTCTTTCCTTTCTATTAATAATAGGAGCATTTGAAGTTATAAATTTAGTGCTAAGCACTGCTTTAGCTGCATCCTACAGATTTATATATGTTGTATTTTTATTTTTGTTCGATTTAAAATATCTCGTGATTTATTTGTTGACCATGGGTTACTTAGAAGTATGTTGTTTCGTTTCCAAGTATTTGTGGGTTTTATAGGTACCTTATTGTTACTGATTTCTAATGGAATTTCATCATGATCAGAGAACATACTCTGTAGGATTTCAGTCTTTTTACATTTGTTGACTCTTATTTTAATGGCCCAGAATATGATCTATCTTGGTGAATGTTCCATATGCACTTGAAAAGAATGTGTATTCTACCACTGTTGTGTGTTTGTTCTGTGTCTGTCAATTAGGTCAAGGTAGTTGATGGTATTTTTCTGATAAGTATCTCCATGATTTTTTTATAGGGGTGGGATCTTGTTCTGTCTACTTCCAAGAGAGGGGTGTTAAAATCTCTGATTGTGGACTTGTCTATTTTTTCCTCTAATTCTGTCATTTTTGCTTCATGTATTTTGAAGTACTGTTATTAGATGCATACACATTTATAATTGTTACATCTTCCCAATGAATTGCCCCTTTTATAAAGTGAACTACCATTCTATCTTTGGTAATAGAGTAGACTTCAAGTCAAAGACGATCTGATGTTAATATAGGTACTCCAGCTTTCTTTTGCTTACTATGTGCCTGGTGATTCTATTTATCTCTTCTGTCAACATAACTATGTCTTTAAATTTGAAGTCTTCTTTTAGACAACGTATAGTAAAGCCTTTTATTAATAACAGCAATATTTTGTCTAAACTAACATTAAATGTAATTATAGATATGGTTGGTTTTAGGTCTACCGTTTTGTTATTTGTTTTCTGTTTACCTTATTTGCGTTTCGTTCTTTTCCTTCTTTCCTATTTTCTTAGGTTAATTGAATTTTTTTTTTAGAATTCTGTTTTAATTCATTTATTAGCTTTTATCTATATTTCTTAGCATTATTTTTAGAGGATACCCTAGGGATTATGATATATATCCTTTTCATGTTTACTTAGAGTTAATATTGAACCGTTTTATGTAAAATGTTGTTTAGTTCCATTAACCTCCCCCATGCTGTAGTTGTCACATGATTTACATCTACATGTGCTGTAAGAGTCACAATATAGTATTATAATTTTTGCTCTAAACAATTATGTGTTTTAAAGACAATAAGACAAAAGAAATAGTCTTACTTACATTCATGTTTATCATTTCCAGTATTCTTCATTTCTTCCTGAAGCTTTCTTTTCAGCATGAAAAATTTCCTTTTGCTTTTCTTGTAGGTTTCCTGATGACAGATTAATTCTCTTGGTTTTTGTTTATCTGAACGTGGTTTTATTTAACTGTCATTCTTGAAGGATATTTCCACTTGTGGGTTTCTTTGAGCATTTTAAATAATGTTATTCGTGGTCTTCTGGCCTCTGTTGTTTCTGAAGGGAGTGAGTGATCATTTATATCATTGCTCCCCTGTTTGTAATGTGTTGTTTTATTTCTGTCTGCTTTCAAATTTTTTCTTTTTATCTTTGGTTTTTAGCAGTTTGGCTACAATATGGTTAGGTTTGTTTTATTTTGTATTTAACCTGCTTGGGATTCACTGAGGTTGAATGTAAAAATGGATGTCTTTCATCAAATCTCAGCCGTAATTTGTTTTAGCATTTTGTTCTGCCCCATTCTCTCTGCCTTCTACTTGGGAATTCACTAATTCTTATGTTAGATCTTTTCATATTCCCCCATAGTTCACTGGCTCTCTTTTTTGTTTTTTAATCATTTCCCCTGTTTTTCGAATTGAATAATTTCTTTTGCTCTATTTTTACATTCTCTTTCTTCTCTCAAGTCTAATCAGGTGTTAAGCCCACCCAGTGAATTTTTTTCCTGATTTTTTTTAGTTCTAGAACTTCCATTTGGTCCTTTCGTCTAGATTCTGTTTCTCTGCTGAGATTTCCTATCTGTTTATTCATTATGAGCATAGTTTTAATAGCTGCTGTAAAGTCCTTGTTTACCAATTGCAACATCTAGATTATTTTGACTTTGCTCTTGACAATGGGCCACATTTTCCCTTTTGTTCATATGCCTCATGTTTTGGATTGTAACCTGAACATTGTGACTGATGTCTTGTGGAGTTTGGATTGGGTTGTGTTCCTCTAAAGAATACTGATTTCTTTATTTCATTTTATTTTATTTTTTTTGAGACAGAGTCTCACTCTGTTGCCCTGGCTAGAGTGAGTGCCCTGGCGTCAGCCTAGCTCACAGCAACCTCAAACTCCTGGGCTCAAGCGATCCTACTGCCTCAGCCTCCCAGGTAGCTGGGACTACAGGCATGTGCCACCATGCCCGGCTAATTTTTTCTATACAGATTTAGTTGTCCGATTAATTTCTTTCTATTTTTAGTAAAGACAGGGTCTCGCTCTTGCTCAGGCTGGTCTCGAACTCCTGAGCTCAAACCATCCGCCCGCCTCCACCTCCCAGAGTGCTGGGATTATAGGCGTGAGCCACCGCGCCCGACCTGATTTCTTTATTTTTATATGACAATTAGCTTGGCTGAACTCAAAGTCCACATTCTTTTCCTCTGCAATGAGCAGCAGCTAAAATCTCTGTTTAGTTCTCTGTACTTTCAGAGTTTAGCTAGAGATTTAGGCAGAGTTTAGAAGCAGAAATTTGGGCCACCTGTTTGTGGCTCTCTTCTTTCTAGGATTTTCCCTCTTTCAACCTGTTGTAGTTGCCCTGAACTATGTCTTACACTTCTTCAACCAGTAAGACTAAAGGTTTCTATCTGAATTATTGCTGCCTGGTGCTACTGACAGGGGCCTGCTTTTGGGCAAAAAGCCTTAAAAAATGAAAAACCCATCCCGTGCCCTTCTCTTCTTTCTGTTATTCCAAATGTCTGACTCCTCTTCTTTTTCTCCTTGCTTTTCGTTGCCCTCCAGTGCCTTTAGGTATTTATTTTGTAGTATTTTTTTCTAGAGTTTGTAATGCTTGTATGCAAAAGGATTGTTCCAATACGAGATATTTTACCGTTACTGAAAGAGAAACCTCCACCTTATGTTAATATGCTGCCTTAGGAAATCATATACATTTATGACCACACAGAGGGATGTTTTTTGTCTCATATAGTGATTGCTTGTTGCATCGATAGCTATTTGGATGTAATTGGTAATGTAATTTAGACCCCTGGACCTGGTCTAAACTCTTAGTTTTGATAGTGTTATGTTTGTGGTAAATGGTCAGAGT